CGGGCACATCTGGTACGACTGTGCGGGCTTGGTATTGGACGGAGTGGACGCGCTTGGCGAGCAGGTCCCTGACGAGGTTCTGAGCCATAGGAATGCCTTAATTAATTCCTGTCTAGATATCTTGGGGAACCCGCAGGCCGAAACCACCTATCTCTCCTATGGGATCCCCTCGCTCTCTGTGGCTTTGGAGCCCCCCGAGGCCCACCCTCAGGTCCAGCACTGGGGGAACGTTTCAGGCCCGTGGGGGCCAACCTGTTTCGTCGATGGGAGCTGCCTCCAGTCAAGTCTCCCTGAGGTTGCTCGGGCTGGCTGGGCTGCGGTTCAATTAAGTCAAGATTTAATTCCAGTTCGTGCTATCTTTGGCGCCTTGCCTGGCGTGCGCCAGACCATCGGACGTGCGGAGCGGTGGTCAATACGTCAGGCTCTGCACTATGCGCCTAAGGTGGAAAAAATGTGTCCGACCTGCAGGCCAGCGCTCGTGAAGGCAACGCGTGGGACCCAGAGCAGGCTGCTGGTCTTGCCAAACATGCGTCGATTTGGGCGGACATTTTCAGGAACCAGCAGCACGACCCCCCCCCAATTTGTTTGGTGCCCCGCCCACCTTTCGCTCGATGATGCTGTAGAAAAAGGCGTCTCTCTTGAGCATTGGGCGGGGAACCTATGGGCTGATTTTTTCGCGAAGCTCGGCTCGGAGTCCCACAGTTACGCGGATGGATTATGTAAGGCCTTGGCGGGGGAATATAGATATCATAAGTCCACTCTTAAGTTCTTGGCGTGGGCTGCTCAGAGGATGTTGCAGTCTCAAGCGTGGTCTGGTGATCCTGAGGTGCCTCTCGTCTCCTCGTTTCCCCCCCTTCCCCCCAAGCTGACGATCACCAGCCACGAGATCTGGCACAGCCAGAAGGTCGCCGTTTGGAGATGCCGTGTATGTGGCAGATTTGCTCGCAGCCTGACTTCTCTCAATGCCATGCTCACACAGAGAGCCGCGCGTGATTGCATTGCAAGCCCCGTGCAGCTCCTAGCGGCCTCTGAATGGTGGAAGACTCATGCCTCCGACCAGGGGTTCGCCCTGATGCGTTCCGAGGCCGTGCAGCTAGCAATGGACGCCTCCCAGAGAGAGGCTGAGCTGTGTGGTCAGACCGAGGGGCCCGACAACGTGGGAGTGAAGGGCCCGCTGTCTCCTGTGCCCCCCTCGGGGCCCAGTGGGCCCGACAGGTTCCCCCAGTTTTCGGCCCTCGGTCACGACGTTTTTAAAAATTGTGATCACTTTTGCTGCCGCAAGTGCGGTGGGAATGGCACTCTCGGCAATTTTGTGAAGTTAGCCGCCAGATGTGTTGGCTTTTCGGCAGTGGCCTCCACGAAGGCAAACCAGCGCATGGCCATCAGGAGGATTGAGGCTGGCCTGCATCCGAAGACAGGCGCGAAGCTCTCTGCCCCCTCGGCTGGTCGGCCGTGCAGGCGTGGAGATAGCCACGCTGGCCCCACGGATGCGGGCAGGCCCGCCTCTTGTGAGCAGGGTGGACGCGATGATAATCGTGCTCCCTCCCCTGCCGCCTCCTGCCCCGTCGAGGGCCCTCCCTCCTCTCGCTTGTCCTGTGGTCCTGGGGCCGAAGGCGTGAGAGGTGAAGGTGCTCGTGGTGTGGCCTTGGACGAGGTCCAGAGGCTGTCCCATGGTAGGGCCGCCCATCGGCCATTTTCACCCCGCGTGATCCCCTCCAGAGGGGACGACGATAGTTCCGATTAAGTTTTGTTCGGCCCCGCCCCTCGTCGTGTTGTCGCCCGCGCCCGCCGCCCGCATACGCCCTCTTCCACTTCGGCTTGACGGAGTGCGGCGCGCAGGCGCCTCGACCCTCGGGGTAGGCGGGGCCCATCCTTGTCCTCTCCCCCTGGCGCGCTCGCGCCCCGCGGGAGCTCATTGAACTCGGACCTCCCAGTCGAGCTTCTGCTCTTCTGGGAGGCGCAACGGCTGCGTTCTCCTCCTCCTCCAGGCCCTCCGCGCTCTCGCGCTGCGCCCCCGTGGAGAGTCCAGCGCCGGGCCCGCGGGCCTCCTCCCCGCCCTCGGCGGCTACGATGGGGGTCGAATAGTCCGGGGGCGGGCATGACACGTATTCGCATTCGCCCGGGAGCCTGGTCGAAGACACAGATCATCGGCGCCCCTGGATACATAGTATCACTCCCCCCTGTGCTACTCGCCCCTGTCTCTCTCTCCAATTAGTGCTTCGCGCGCCCCGCCCAGCTCTTCACTGGAAGAGGCCCGCTCTCGACCCGCCGACCCAAAAAATGCTACTCGCCCCTTTCGTCGCCTCCGACGCCACCCACGCCCGGACGGCTTGCCGCGGAGGTCGCACACGGGATCTGCGGAGGTTCCCCCCGAGGGCCCCGCCGCGCGCTCTCCGGGTCCGACCCTTCTCGGCCTCTACGCTGCGCGCGAGGTCGCGATCGCCCAACATGTGCGTGTGTGTGTGTGTGTTTGTGTGCTTGTGTGCGTGTGTGTGTGTGCTTGTGTGTTTGTGTGTTTGTTGTGTGTGTGTTTGTGTGTTTTGTGCGTGTGTGTGTATATATTTCTAGCTTTTAGCGGAAGAGGTTCGCTCTCGAAGTGTGTGTGTATCTATTCCTGTTCCCTCCCTTGCATGCGGGCCCGTTACCCCGAGTTGCCACACGCTGGAGCGGACCGCCTCTGCCTCGCCGCCGACGGAACTGTACATATGTAGGTATGGTTATGTATGCATGTATGCATGCATGTATGTATGTATGTATGTATGTATATATGTATGTATGCATGTATGTATGTATATATGTATGTATGTAGATGTGTATGGGTGTACGTGTGTATGCATGTTTGTGTGTATATACATATAGATAGATTGATGACTGCATGTATGTATGTGTTTACGTATGTATGTATGCATACATGCATGCATGTATGTATGTATGTATGTAGGTGTGTATGAATGTATGACTGTATATGTGTATATGTGTGTATGTATGTATGTATGTATGTATGTATGTATGTATGTATGTATATAAGTATACATGCATGTATGCATGTATGTATGTATGGTTATATGTAGGTAGGTAGGTAGGTAGGTAGGCATGTATGGATGTATGTATGTAGTAGTTGTAATTATGTATGTATATGTATGTATATGTATGTGTGTATGTATATACGCATGTATATAGCAATGATTGTTTGTGTGTGGCTGCATGCATGTATGCATGCTATGGCATGTATGCATTTATGCATGTATGTATGTATGTATGTATGCATGCACACATGCATGTATGTATGTATGTCTGACTGTCTGTCTGTCTGTCTGTCTGTCTGTCTGTCTGTCTGTCTGTCTGTCAATATGTATGTATGTATGTATGTATGTATGTATGTATGTATGTATGTATGTATGTATGTATGTATGTATAGATATACTATATATACACAGATATATCCCGGGGGACGTGGCCAGGGGGGTCCCGCCCAGGGACCTCGTCGGCGCATGGGGGGCCTGGGACTTTACTTTCCTTTTGTTTTTTACAACGTTTCGGCGACCCGGAGCCAACAGAGCCCCAAGAGGTTGCAGGGAGCTCCAGGGGCTGCTCCCGCCTGGTGCCCCAGGTCTCCCACAGGCCTCCCAGAGGCCTCCAGGAGAGCTCCCCAAAGCTCAAACATTTGGTTTTCCCATCGTTTTTTTTCCACGTTTTTCTCCATGCAGCCTGTTCTGCATCCCCATCCCCGCGCTGCACGGCAGCCCCAGAGGACGCCCAGACCGTCCTGGTTCGGCCCCAGAGGCTCCCAACCTTGTCCCCAGATGGCTCCGCATGGGAGCGGCGCGCACTTTCCCTGTGTTTTTACAAGGTTTCGGCGACTCGGAGCTAACAGAGCCCCAAGAGGTTGCAGAGGTCCAGAGGCTGCTCCCGCCTGGTGCCCCAGGTCTCCCACAGGCTTCCCAGAGGCCTCCAGGAGAGCTCCCCAAAGCCCAAACCGCCCACTGCGGCGCCTGAGGCTCCCAACGCCGCCTTTAGACGGCCCAACAAGGCACCCAGATTGCCCGAACTGCACCCAGGGGGGCCCAGGAACACCCCGGGGCAACTGGCCGACAGAGCGGCCCCAGACACTTCCACAAGGCCTCCGCTGCGGCCCTGCTGCGGCCGCGCGCGGCAAAGCGCGCGGCGGAGCTCGCGGAAGCTCCAGTTGCTCCTCTTCCTGCTTCTCTTCCTCCCCCCTGCTCCAACTCCTCATTCTGCTCACGCTGATGCTGGTGCTGCTGCTGCGCACTCCCTTCTCCTCCTCCACCTCCACCACCTCCTCCTCCCGCCCCTCCCCTTACTTCCCCACCGCCGTTCCTCGTCCTCGTCCTCCTCCTCCTCCTCCTCCTCCTCCTCCTCCTCCTCCTCCTCCTCCTCTGCCTCCTCCTCCTGCCGGCAGCGCAGTGCGAGAAATCCAAGGCTCCGGGAGGGTCGGCCGTCAGGACCTTGTGGACCGAGATCCGCTGTCGATGGCGCTGCTTGCCGTGGCAGCCTTTGGCGCCATGATGCCGTGACTCGAACCTAAGCGCGCGTAGCGCGCGCGAAGTTCTAGTGTGTATATATATATATATATATATGCATATATACATACCTGCATGCATGCATATATACATGCATGCATGCGCACATACACTTGTATATCTATATTTATATGTATGTATATACGTGCGTGTGTGTCCGTGCGTGTGTATCCATGCGTTTTTTGTGTGCGTGTGTGTGTGTGTGTGTGTGTGTGTGTGTGTGTGTGTGTGTGTGTGTGTGTGTGTGTGTGTGTGTGTGTGTGTGTGTGTGTGTGTGTGTGTGTCTGTGCGGTGTGTGTGCGTGTGTGCGTGTGCGTGGCGTGTGCGTGTGCGTGTGCGTGTGCGTGTGCGTGTGCGTGTGTGTGTGTGTGTGTGTGTGTGTGTGTGTGTGTGTGTGTGTGTGTGCGTGTGTGTTCTTTGTGTGCGCCTGGGTGTTTTTGTATTCTTGCTTCTCCGAAGGACGGCACGATGGCCGTGCACAGGCAAGGGCAGCCGCAGCTCATCATCTGGGGCAACGAGGACGCCCCCCCGCACGGCCCTGCTCGCGCTTCGCCCCCTCATCCGCCTCCTCGGCCTGGGCCTGCTCCTGCTCCTGCTGCTGCTCCTCCTGCTCGTGCAGCCGCTCCTCCCGCTCCTGCTCCTGCTCCCCCGCTCCCTCCTCCTGCTCCTGCCCCCCTTGGCTGTCCTCATCCTCCCGGCCCTCCTGCCTGCCCCTTGCGCCCTGCCACTGCCCCCCCCCCCCCTCCCCCCGCCGAGGACGCCCTGGACCTCGAGGTCTCCACGGAGGACGGGCAGCCCACCGCGACGGTCTCGTGCACGCAAGACGGCGCCAGCGGGGCCGAGCACGTCGAGGTTGATGCTGTTCTAACCTGCTTTTAGCCTCGGTCACCGAAGGAGTTTCGAGCACCAGGAGTCTACTGACGCCGGAAGCTTTTCACGCGTCGGGCCCCGGGGCTCCGCACTCGTTGGGCACTTCTCCACGGTATCGGGCAGACTCTCTCTTCTTGGGTGCTCGGAATTCGTTTCCGGGATACCGTCCTTGAGTACGATGGGAACAACATAAGTCGAGGTCAGCATCTTCGACGGCTCGAATGTCCAGCTCGTCGTTTGCTGCATCTTCGCGATCCTGTTCCTCTGCGGCGAGGTCTGTGGCCACGTCAGGGGGGAACTGGCCCAGGGCAGTCGTCCTACGTCGTCCTGCGATCCTCCTCCTCCTCCTCCTCAACCTCGTTCTCCCCCTCCTCCTCCTCCTCCTCCTCCTCCTCCTCCTCCTCCTCCTCCCCCTCCTCCTCCTCCTCCTCCTCCTCCTCCTCCTCCTCCTCCTTCTCTTCCTCCTCCTCCTTCTCTTCCTCCTCCTCCTCCTCCTCCTCCTCCTCGAGGCCGGGGGATTGTGGAGCCCCTCGTCGTTTTCATACGGTTTTTATCGAATGAAACGCTCTTTCACCCTTAAACTTTGATTGCTGTTTGACATTTTTCTTTTCGCCGTGATCCCCTCATACTAATATTTTCTCGTTCTAGTGTTCTCTCTCTTTGTCTCTCTCTCTCTCTCTCTCTTTGTCTATCTCCTGCACCAGGCCAATGCATGCCGATGCGATACAGGTCAATTCCCAACCAACACCAATGCCAATGCAATGCCAATGGGGGATCCTTTCGTTCGGTGGATTTCAATACGAATACTTTGTGGATGATGTCATTGCGGATCCTTCTTCGGAGGATTTCAATAGCAATGCTTATGTGTAGGATTTCGATAGGGATCCTCATGGGGAGAGTTCCATTAGGAATCCTTCATGTGGGAGGATTCAATCGGAATCGTTCTTGTGGAGGGTTTCAGTAGGAATCCGTCTGCGGAGGGAGCCACTAGGACTCGCCAGCGCAATGCCTACGCAATGTCAAAGCTTTGCCATCGCAGTGCCAAACCAATTCCAGAGCGATCCCAATTCAATGCCAATGCAATGCCAATGGGGCGATCCTTTCGTTCGGTGGATTTCGATAAGAATACTTTGTGGATGATGTCCTTACGAATCCTTCTTCGGAGGATTTCAATAGCAATGCTTATGTGTAGGGTTTCGATAGGGATCCTCATGTGGAGGGTTTCGCTAGGAATCCTTCATGTGGGAGGATTCAGTGGGAATCTTTCTTGTGGAGGGTTTCAGTAGTCTGCGGAGGGAGCCATTAGGACTCGCCAGCGCACTGCCAACCCAATGCCAAAGCTTTGCCATCGCAGTGCCAAACCAATTCGAAGGCGATCCCAGTTCAATGCCAATGCAATGCCAATGGGGGGTATCCTTTGTGGTAGATTCCAAAAGGAATCCTTCCGTGGGGGGGCTCAGTATGATTATTTTATGTGGGGGGGCTTTCAAAAGTATCCCGTCTTGTGGAAGGTAAGGGATCCTTCTGTGGTGGGAGCCATTCGAACTCGCCAGCGCAATGCCGAAGCAGTGCCAACGCAATGCCAAACCAATGCCAATGCAATGCCAATGGTGGGGAATCCTTTGTGGTAGATTTCAATAGCACTCCTTCTAAGAACCTTCCTTCGGGGGATTTCAGTAGGAAACCTTCTATGGAGGGCTTCGCATGGAACCATTCTGTTGAGGGTTTCACTTTGAATCCTTCTTATGGGGGGGGGGTTCAATAGGCATCCTTTTTGTGGGGGTGTTCAATAGGAATCCTTCTGTGCAGCGTTTGAGTAGGACTCGCCAGCGCACTGTCAACGCAATGCCAACGCACTGCTAACGCACTGCCATCGCAATGCCAATGCAATGCCAATGCGATGCCAAACCGTTGCCAAACCAATGCCAATGCAATGCAGATGGCGGGACTCCTGTCTTCCAACAGATTTCACTAGGAATCCTTATGTGGATGATTTGGTTACGAATCCTGCTTCGGAGGATTTCGATAGGAATCCTCCCGTGGAGGGTTTCGATTGGGATCTTTCTGTGGGGGGCTTCACTTTGAATCCTGCATGTGGGGGCTTTCAAAAAGGATCCCTACTTGTGCAAGGTCTTCATAGGAATCCTTCTGTGGGGGGCCATTCGAACTCGCCAGCGCAATGCCAACGCAATACCAACGCAATGCCAAACCAATGCCAAAGCGATCCCAATTCAATGCTAATGCAGTGCCAATTGGGGAAATCGTTTGCGGTCGGGTTCAAGAAGAATCCTTGTATGGAGGGCTTCGAATGGAATCCTTCCGTGAGTGCGTTCAATGTGAACCCTTATTGTGGGATGCTTCAATCGGAATCCTTCTTGTGGGGGGTTCAACAGAAATCATTCTGCGAAGGGGGGTGTTGGAACTCGCCAGCGCAATGCCAGCGCAGCGCCACCGCAGTGCCAACGCAATGCCACACCAATGCCAAAGCGATCCCAACCAAATACCAATGCACTGCCAATGGGGGAAATCCTTTGAGGTAGATTTCAATAGGAATCCTAATGTGGAGGGTTTTGCATGGAATCCTTCTGTGGAGGGTGTCAATATGAACCGTTTTGTGGAGGGTTTCAATCGGAGTCCTTCTCGTAGAAGGTTTCGATCGAAGTCCTTCTGTGGAGGGTTCCAGTAGGACTCGCCAGCGCAATGCGTGCGAAATGCAAGCATGAGCGTGAGGTTTTGTGTGCAGCCGGGAGCCCATCGCCGATTGTTCGGCGACGCGTTGCCACTTCCAGGTTGATGTTCTCCACCCCCCCCCCGTGGGCCTAGGCGCCCAGGCCCCCTAGATGGGGTCGGAATAGGAGGAGGAGGAGGAGGAGGAGGAGGAGGAGGCGGAGGAGGAGGAGGAGGGGGAGGAGAAGGAGGAGGAGGAGGACACGGAGGAGGGAGGAGAGGAGGAGGGCAAGCAGGGAGCTGAGCCTCCCAGATTGGATCGGAGTAGATGGGGTCGGAGGATCGCGCCGCATCGCCGATGCGGCTCCACGTAGCGCCCGATTCGCTTCACGTCGACGTCGCCGATGCATCGCCGACGTCGAGCCGATGCATCGCCGACCCTGTGGCGCAATCCTCCGACCCCATCTACTTCGACCCCGAGGCCTCTAGTGAGCCAGTCCCTCCCCCCTCGCGAGGGGGCCTGACGGCGCTCCTGGTCGGCCTCGTGTTCACCGTGTGGACCGCCTTCGCTATGAATGCACGCGCGGCGCCTGGACGCCCGTGGGAGCGGGCACCTCACTCGGTCAATTGTTTCTGGTAGTCGTCAAGATGCCTGCGGCACCCCCGCTCCGATGCCAAGCGAGGGCTTCTTGGAGGAGGAGGAGGGAAGGAGGAGGAGGAGGAGGAGGAGGAGGAGGAGGAGGAG